AGCATTGTGACTGGAGACCTGACCCTTACCGGTTAGTCGAAAGGAGCAGCGCTGACACTTTGGCTACCACCCCCAATACGATACAGGCGTACGTATGAGCAGGCACACCAGACCTTCTTCACCCACCGACGAAAGCCTCGCTCGCCAGGCCTCACGCCTATCCTTGAACGAGACCGCGTCAACAAGACCCAGCACTCCACGACCAACACCTCCTACCCCGACATCATCCGTCATGACTACCGAGGTAAAAGGATATTTGGGCAACGCCCCAAAACCCTATAAGGGAGAGCGGAAGGGACTGACCCCCTTCCTTCAACATGTGGACATGTTCTTCCTGATGAACCCCAGCAAATTCCCAGACGAGCTTACCAAGGTCCTGTTTACTAGCTCCTATCTGGAGGGAGACGCCGAAACCTGGTTCAGACCCTACCTTAGGGACTACACCACCAACAAACCGGCCGATCGAAGTACCGACACGGGAGCCATCTTTGGCACTTACAAAGGGTTCAAGGAACGACTCAAGACTGCCTTCGGTGTGCAGAACGAAGAACGAGAAGCCGAAGGACAGGTCATGAACCTCCGACAGACTGGGTCTGCGCAGGAATATGCAACCAAGTTCAGAGGGCTCGTCGCTATCCTGGAGTGGGACGATAGCGTAACGGTCCCCATTTTCCGAGAAGGCCTGAAGCCCGCAATTCGTTGGGAGCTACGAAACAACACGACCCGACGATTGGCTGACTTGATGGCAGAGGCCATCAAGATTGACAGTGACCTCTGGGACTTCCACAAGGGTCGACAGAGAGGCAGCAAAGCCGTGTACGTGGCAAAGGGGACCCACAAACCAAACACCCCCAAGCAACGAGAGCCGTACTACGGACCCATGCCGATGGACCTGGATGCGGCCCAGAAGAAAAAGGGTAACGCCAAGGGCAAGTCCCAAAGGGGCAACAAAGGCGCCAAGATTCCCAAAGAGGAAAGGGAACGACGCTTCAAAGAAAAGCTATGCCTCTATTGCGGAAAACCCGGACACGTCGCAAGGAACTGCCAGTCCAAGGCCCAAATGCACAACGGGGAGAAGCACCAGCGGACCAAGGAAATGAACATGGCAGAAGGGGAGGCAGTGCAAGGGAAAGGAACCGTACTTGATGGAGGGCTCGCAGAAGTCGTACAGCTTACAACGACCCACCTCCACATCCAGACGAGGTACTGGAGAATCGCTACTTGCGCCGACCCCCAGTGCCCACAGGGGCCAAGACGACACTACCACCATATCTATGACCCGAAGGGGAGGGCTAAGTCTTCAATGACAGTGGTCAAACTTCGGTTCTGCGATAACCCCAACTGCTCGTGGCGGGATGCGGCCCCCCACGAGAAACACATTCATCAAGGGGGAAACCCCGAGACACAGTACATGCACCAATGCGAGGTACGGAACCCATCGGAGCCCGAAAGAGAATCGTCACCAGAGTGTTCCATGGCGGGACCTGAAAACAACCAAGACAGGG